CTACTCTCTTCTTCTTTTCGTCCTTCCTACTCTATTCTTCTATTCTAGTTAGTGTGGTGGGGGGGGGGGGGGGGGGGTTTGGGGCTCTACTCTTTTCTGCCTATATCTTTGTTATTTTCATTGTTGGGATTCCACAATAGCAAGAGTTATTACAATACTTATAAACATTTTTTTTTGGTGAGCTGTCTTTTGGTTTTTCTTCTTATATGTTGTATTTCAGCAAACAAGAAACAGAAGAATCATTGTAAAACTGAGAGCGGCATCAAAATTCAAGTCTTTAGTTTCAACATGAAATCTTGAAATAAGTTCTATGGTTTATGTAGCCAGCGTCGGAGGTTCACGCAGCGGAGTTCAGAAAAGGTTTGTTGTCTGATGTTTTTTTAATTTTTCTCTGCTAGAATAATAGGATAGGAGTAGTATAAAATGGATCGTGAAATGTCTAGCAATATCCTGGCCTTTAAATTTTTTTCTAACACGTGGCAGCATCCTACTCCCCCATTGAGAAATACTGGAGGAAATAATACTGGAGGGGATCTCAACACGTAACAGACACAGACTATATAAATTAATTAATAAAGTAATTAAATACTTTCAATTAGTTTCATAATTTTTTCTAGCATCTGCTTGCTAGGAGTAGATTCTATAGCGTGTATATATCCAGCTAATCTAATTAAGTTTTAATACTGGTACTGTATAGAGAACCTGGTATCTATAAGTTCCCACAGAACACACACAATCAGAGATAAGTAAGTGACACAGTATAGTTTTACGTGGAAAACTTCCAGCTCACAGGATTAAAAACCACGACTTACACTAGTAGTATTTCAACTTATTACTAACTGAGCAAACTTCAGATTACAAATTATTGTAACCTAGAAATTAAACTCTTAATCCCCACTCACTTGTAATAACTCTATTACAAGCCTCGTTGTAATAAATCTATTACAAAGCTCACAACTCGACTAACTCTAGCCAAGACACAAACACAAGGTTTATGATTTTACAAATAATTTTCTACACAATTCTTCTAGCTAAGCTAAGTAGGAATTACAAGTAGATCACTCTAACGAAGGTACAAAACAACTAAGGACTAACACATTGCCCGGAAACTGGTTTTTCGTTCTATTGTTCTTCGTTCTTGAAGTCACTTGGAAGATGGCAGCACACTTGAGAGAGAAACTTAATGATTTTCAGATTGGTCAAGTGTTTTATTTTCTCTTGCTTCAAGTTGGTAATATACAAGTGAGATCACTTGGATGATGTAAGCAATTATCCGATACAAGGCATGCTCCATAAAGTGATTGTTGCACTGTTTACACTATTGCGTGTGTGCAGAGAGAGAACAATGCAACGACTTTACTGCTGTGGAGAGTTAACTTGTACTGTCAGCAAGGGAACTGATGTCCATCTTTCCCTCAGTCGTCTCTTTGACTCAAGTTGTTGGAACTTGTGCCAGACTTGAAACTTGTTATTTTTGAGCACTTTGAGGATGTGTAATAGGTTCCCAATCCGGTTCTTATTAGAAGTTCATTAGATCATCAAAATACAAAAAGGTACATATCTTATCAATTTCCCCCTTTTTGATGATGACAAACTTATAATGTCCCGCCTGAGAACCAGATCTCTACACAATTTTCATTGAAAAAAAACTTGTATCCCCCCCCCCCCCCGAGAATCTGTTCCCCCTATGAATCATCAATTTTCTTCCCCCTTTTGGCATCATAAAAAGATTAGACACAAGCAATAGGCAAAAAAAAGTCTAGCAAAGTTAACTCATGTCACATGTGTGCACACAACATGGCTAAAAATAGAGCCCAAGAGTATAACATGCATAGAAATAGATGAGATGCTCATTAATTTGAAAGAGAAGAGAACAGAAATAGTAGTACCATTGTTACACAACCTTTCACAAAAAAAACTTAAAAAATACCAGTCATAGAAACAAAAAAAAGAGCTCAGGTAGGATAGACATCATTCAACTAGACACTGGGAAGGGAATTGTTTTAAGGGGAAATGGAAGGGGGAGCAAGGATGAGGAAGTAAGGGTTCTGAGAAGAATGTCCATTCGAGTATTTGGAGATACTTGTTCGCTAAGCAGCTGCTCTTTCAAGTCCTCGACCTGTTTCTTGAGATCTGTATTTTCTTTGGTCAGGTGAGCAACCTCTCTACCTTGTGCACTGCTGGAACCAGGTGCCTCCTGGGCCTGACTAAGCTGCCCTTCAATAATGTCATTCCGTACCTTCAATCTCTTTATCTCCTCATTTGCAGCATTCTGAGCATCAATCAATTGAGAGATAGTGGAATTGTTGCCAACACCCCCTTTCTTGTCAATACACTCACATTCCTCCAAGGTGGTCTTTGAGAAAGTTTGCTTGCGAGTTCCCACTGTTGCTCTTCTCAAGGGGACCTTGAAGAAGTTAAACACTAGTGGGTAGGAACCTATAAGTCAAACCATGATTATCGTCCTTGAAGTCTGCCACTTTTTTCATATGCTCCATCATAAGATCAGGCAGATTGATAGTGGTGTAAGCATCCAGTGCTTCCATGAGGAACAAGTCTGCTTTTGAAGTGATAGAACGCCTTTCTGTGCGTGGAAGCAAGATCGTATTCACCATCTCAAACAGAAGTTGATACACTAGAAGGAGGGTCTTCTTGTGCACCCGTTCCCCTGTTGCACAGCATCATCCTTCAGAATGGAACGTCTTAAATTGGAAGAACAGGCCCCCTCAATGGATGAGATCCCTTCAGTAGGCACTCCCAAAATATTCCCTAACACACCCTTGTCCATCACAAAATCTGCGTCGTTGATCTTCAAGAAAATGTTATCATCTTCCACTATAAACATATCTGTGTAGATGATAAGTACCTCTTCCTCATACACCTTGGGGCTCTCATTGGTGAACAAGTGTGTCCACTTTTGAAACTCACAAATGTCAACCAGTTGTCTCATCTCTGACATGTTCTACCCCATAGTACCCTCTGCTTCCTAAGGTTTTCTCTGGCTCCATCCTTTGACACAGTCACTTTGGCCTTCTTGGAGGAACCAGGTTCCTCATTGTCATCGGCCTTCCTCTTCACAAACTTCCTCACTTTTTTCTCCTTCTTTTCAGACTTCTCAGAAGATTTCTCACCAGACTTCTCTCCCTCGACATTTTTCACTTCCATAGTTTTCATAAATGACTCTCTCCTGGGTTTTGAAATCACAGGTTTCTTAGAGGATTTACGAATTAAGGAAGCAGGTTCCTCATTCACCTCTTCATTGTCAACATCAACAACAAGTGTTGGAGGCACCTCCTCCTCATTCACTAGCTTTCCCCCTTTCACCAACCTCTTCCTTTCTTCTTTTCTTTGTTTTTCTTCAGAACAGATTCAAGGGCTTCCTTCTTTTGCAGCCTGGTAGTGGGTCTTTTAAGAGTGGGCTCTTTAGGAACTGCCCTTCCATTTCTAGCAACAATGAATCTTGCCATAGTCACATTATCATAGTCTTCCTTACTGTTTTCATTTTCCTCTTCAGATAGAGGCCTCATCTCAGGAATGATAAAGTTTAACAGCTCAACATCGAAGTGAGGATAAGGAGCAGGATCAGTACTAACCTGGTGCTCTTATGAGGAGCAAGGGGTTTCATCCCAAGTAGGAGCAGCGTGCTCTTGTTGGGCAGAGGGATCAGGTCCCTCTATTGTTTCCCTAGTAGTACTGACTGGTGCCAAATTTTCCATGGTGCACCAGTTCCCTACCCTCAGCTTTGTGACTTTCATCTTCCCCTGAGACCCAATGGTCTCATTATCACCCTCATAAACATCAACCAACCCTCCCTCTGCAGCAATCAGTAACATGTTCTCAATGGCTTCTTTCTCATTTACCTCCAAAACCGAATCAGACGATGCATAAAGAACATTAGCTGTAGGAGTGGCAATATTCAGATTTAAGCTTGGAGCGGGCACTACTGAACCTTCACCACTACATACCACATCTTGTTGGGTTTCAAAACTTTCCCCAACTTTCTGACTAGAAACTTCTTATCCCTCATCTCCGTCTACTGTTTCAGCTTTTGCCATTTTTTCCGGCGAGGCAGAAGGAGAGGTCGCAACAATGAATCTTTTGGGGTTCTGAGTATTACGACTGTGGTGAGAACCAGAACTCGAGTGGGTTGGAGAAGAAGCAGTAGGTGGTTGTTGGTCTAGTATGGGGTTTTTACTGGGTAACGATTGGGACTAGGACTCTCGCTCCAGTGCTTCATGAGACGAAGACATAGTGGGGACGGCACTGAAAGTGTTTGAAATTTCTGGATTCTGGGACATAGTGGAGATTTAAAGTAAGTACACGAGAAGGAGAGAATTTTATTTGAGAGAGAAATGGAATTTTTGGCTTTGACGTGGATAGTTGGGAAAGAGACATAATTTGGGGTTATTTAGAGGAGGTGAGGGACCGGTTACAAACGGGTATGAATTACTAGGTAGACGGGTCGATTTTTAACGGGTATGATGTTTGAGTTTTAAAGAGATGAGAGAGAGAGAGAGACGGAGGCATTTAATGACGTGTCACTTTTTAAAGCCGTTAAAAAATGTGCATGAGAGTACAAAGGAACTACTATCCTGAGTCAAGGAACCAGGTTCCCTGACTTAGTTTTGTAAAAGTGAGCCTTATCCTTTACCAAGATGCAATGTTATTAGCTGCTTGTTTGCTCTGTGGTTGCCATGCTTGTTTACCTGTAACGGTATAGAGATGAGTTAAAACTTGCAAGAAAATACTTTTTAGTAGTTTTACCTATTCATTCTTTCATAGCCAATCATTGAGGGACATGGTGCTCAATTTGATTTTATCAACCCCAATGCCAATCGATTCTTTTCAAAGTGCTCAATGCTCAGTGCTTTGGTAAAGATATCTGCTACTTCGTCCTCTGTTTTATAGAACTTCATGCAGATAAGACCTTTTTCAATATTGTCTCTGAGAAAATGATGTCGCACATTAATGTGCTTTGTTCTCTTATGCTGAACCGGGTTCTTTGCCATGTTGAGAGAACTAGTGTTATCACATAGTAATGGCATACAGTCAGAAAATACACCAAAATCCTCCAGTTGTTGCTTGATCCACAGTAGTTAAGCACAACAAAAGGCAGTTGCTACATACTCAGCTTCTGCGTCGAAAGAGCCACAAAGTTTTGTTTCTTTGTACCCCATGAAATCAAACACGACCCCAAAAAATGTGCCATGCCAGATATGCTCTTTCTATCTACCAGATAACCAGCATAATCAGCATCAACATACTAATTAAGGCGAAATTTTCTCCTGAAGGATAGTAGAGAACCTGGTCCTACATTCCTTTGAGATACCATAGAATCCTTTTGGCAGCTTTCAAATGAGATTCCTTTGGACTGGATGGAAAATCTAGCATATAATCCCATACTAAATATGATATCAGGTCTAGTAGCTGTGAGATACAAGAGTGAACCAATGATACCTCCGTACATTTTTTCGTTCATAGGAGAACTAGGTTCATCCATGTCCAGACGAGTGGCAGTGGCAATAGAAGTATCAATGGTCTTTGAACTTTCCGTCTCAAATCTCTTCAGGAGCTCTTTAATGTACTTTTGCTGACTTATCATCGTTCCCTTAGGGGTTTGCTTAACTTGCAACCCTAGGAAAAAATTCAATTCCCCTATCATACTCATTTCAAACTTGCTTCCCTTAAACTTTGCAAACTCCTCATACAAGGAATTATTCGTTGAACCGAAGATGATGTCATCAACATAGACATGCACAATGAGCAGGTTCCTCCCCCATTTTATTAGAAATAGGTTGTTGTCGATTTTTCCTCTTGTAAAGCCATTTTCAAGAAGGAACTTGGACAACCTTTTATACTATGCACGAGAGGCCTGATTCGATTCATATAATGCCTTGTCAAGTTTGAATACATGTTTAGGATGCTCATGACACTCAAAACCAAGTGGTTGTTTGACGAAGACTTCTTCCTTTAAATATCCATTCAAAAATGCACTTTTGACAACCATTGGAACAATTTGAATTCCATATGAGATGCAAAGGCAATGAGGATTTTGATGGCTTCCATTCGAGCAACTAGTGCAAAAGTCTCATCATAGTCGATTCCTTCTTCTTGATTGTATTCTTGCACTACTAACCTGGCCTTGTTCCTTGTTGTATTCCCTAATTCATCAAGCTTGTTTATGAAAACCCACCTAGTTCCAATAACAGTTTTGCCCGAGGGTTGAGGAACCAGGTGCCATACGCTGTTCCTCTCAAATTGATGGAGTTCATCTTGCATAGTAGTAACCCAGTCAGCATCTTTCAATGCTTCCTTGATATTTTTGGGCTCAATTTGAGAAAGGAAAGCTGAGGAGGAAAATGAACTTCTTGTCTTTGATCTGGTTTGAATCTGTGAGTCAAGAGGAGTGATCACATTTTGGAGAAGATGTGAACTTTTGTGCTTTTAGTAGACACCTGAATCTCATTGTAAGAAGACCCAGGTTCCTTTGAATGTGATCCATTATTTGCATTAATGGAGGAGTGAGTGTCACTTCTCAACTCAACATCAGGAGTTCCTTGCACGGCATTAGCAACTCTGTTCTTTGCTTCAGTTATTGTGATAGAGGAACCAGGTTCCTCTATATCAACTGGAGATTCGGCTGCATATTCTCTGTTGGATTCATTGACTTGACTCATCATGTTAGCCTTTCCATTTACCATATCAATGACTTCTCCAGGAACCTTTGACTACTCTCCGTCTTGATCAACCTTATCATGTGAATCTTTCCCACATAAGTGGTGTGATTCATCAAAGATCACATGTATGTTTTCTTCAACACATTGAGTCCTTTTGTTGTAGACTTTGTATGCTTTTCTTTGTGATGAATAACCAAGAAAGATTCCTTCATCACTCTTGGAATCAAATTTTCCCAGTGCTTCCTTACCATTATTGAGAACAAAACATTTGCAGCCAAATGTTCTCAAGCGAGTTTGCTTAGGTTTTCTCTTGTTCAGCAATTCATACGGGGTTTTGTTCAAGAGGGACCTGATCATGCACCTGTTCACTAAATAGCACGCAGTGTTGACTTCCTCCGCCCAAAAACATTTTGCAACACCACTGTCAATCAGCATAGGCCTTGCCATGTCTTTAAGAGTCCTATTTTTTCTCTCGACAATACCATTTTGCTGGGGTGTTCTTGGAGCTGAAAAATTATGACTTATACCATTTTCAGCATAGTATTCGTTGAATTTTGCATTGTCAAACTCTGTTCCATGATCACATATTATACTCACAACATTATGGCTCATCTTCACTTGAATCTTCTTCACAAAGGCAGCAAACACTGAAAAAGTTTCATCATTGATTTTGAGGAATAAGGTCCATGTGAACCTGGAGTAGTCATCTACTATGACGAAAATGTACTTCTTTCCTCCTCTACTTGTCACCCTCATAGGTCAATACTGATCCATATGGAGGAGATCAAGTGGCCTTGAGGTGCTTACTTCCTTTTTGGGCTTGAAGGAGGACCTGCCTTGCTTTCCTCTTACACATGCATCACACGCCTTGTGATCTTTGAGCCTTGACTTAGGCAGCCCACGAACCAGATTCTTCTTGACCAACTTATTCAGCAATGAAAAGCTTGCATGTCCCAATCTTCTGTGCCCTAGTTCAACATCGTCATCAACAACACTCAAGCATGTAAGGTCCCCGTTGTTCAAACACTCAAAATAAGCAACATAGATATGTTTGAATCTTTTGGCATCAAAACCACTTCACCAGTTACAAGACTTGTAACAGTGCAAGTCTTTGATAAGAATTCCACTTTGTTTCCTTTGTCGCAAATTTGAGAAACACTCAATAGGCTATATTTCAAGCCATTCACATAGTACACATTCTCAATTGAATGAGTGAGTGTCTTCCCAACTCTTCCTACTCCCAGAATGTATCCCTTTTTGCCATTGCCAAAGGACACACTCCCTCCTTGCAGGTCTTTGAGTGAAAGAAAATCATCTGTGCTTCCAGTCATATGTTTAGAGCAGCCACTATCCATATACCATCTTTGGATGCTTCCTTTCACTACTCCATGCACAATGAAATCAAGGGTTAGACTTAGGAACCCAATCAAGTTTGGGTCCCTTGTAGTGAGGAAAAGGGTGAATCAAGCATCTTCTTGTCCAAACAGGCATCACACATTTTTTATTTGAGGGATCAAGTTCTTTAGCAGTAGCTACTTTTTCAGCAAAAACATTGTTTTTATGTTGGGACTGAAATCTAGCTTTACAGGTTTCTTTAAAGTGCCTAGTGTTACCACAATGAGTGCAAAGCCAGTTATCAGGGATAGTAACGTACTTGCTATATGGATTGTAGGGAGTCTTTTCTTTTTGGAACCCGATTCCCTACATGTTCCTCCATTGTTCTTATAAATGGCAGCGATTGCATCAGAGGACCAGGTCAACTTAAGAGATTTTTCTGGGTCATTCTTAACTCTGCCTAGATCTTCCTTAAGTTGTATGTTTCTTTCAAGTTCAGCACACATACTAGATTTCACCATTTTTAGCTCATTTTCAAGCTTAAGGTGTGCCTCACGTGCAACTTCCTTTCCCTTTTGAATGTTCCCAGAACTACTTTCCCTTTTTAGTTCCTAAATTGTTTCTTTTAGATCCACAACTACTACCAACAAGTAATCCCTCTCATGCTCTACGTTTGCAATTTTTCCAGCTAAAGCATCCTTTTTACCTTTTTAAATCCTCAATTGTTTCTTTTAAATGAACCACTACGACTACTAAATCATATCTCTCCTATTCTACCTCTCCTAGTTCCACGACTAGCGCATTTTTATCATTAATGAGATTATGATATGCATCAATTAGGACATTTTCCAAAGATATAAGCTTCTTTTGAGAATAAGACTTCAAATTTCATTGAACGTCCAGAAAGTTTACCTCATCGTCATCATCATCTTCATCCTCATCGGATTTTGCCATCAGGGGAAAGATAGAGTCATATTCAGCTGCTTCACTTTCAACGGCCATCATGGAGGTGTCACCTTGTTCATCATCTCCTTCAGATTCACTGGAGGAATCTCCCCATACAGCAAGAGCTTGTTTCACAACATTGTCAGCGACATCTTTTCTCTTGAATCTCTTATCAGGAACTGGGTTCCTTCTGGTTGCTTTGTTTCTGTTGTGCTTGTACTGATCTTACTTGTTCAGAGGATAATCTTTGATAAAATTTCCTGGCTTCCCACATTTATGACATAAGTCATAGCCTTTTGGTATGCTGGAGCTACCCCTTTTTGGAATGCCTCTATTTCTGCGTACCATTTTCTGAAATCGTTTTGTCAGATAAGCCATGTCAGCATCCTCGCCACTTGAGTCATTGTTGTCAGCCTTGAGGCCAGGTTCTGCTTCTTCTTGGGTTTTTCTTTCATGGTCCTTTTTTTTTCTTCATTTCATAGGTCTTCAGATTTCCAATGAGTTCACCAATGGTCAGCTTTTGCAGATTTTTTGCCTCAATGATAACATTGACCTTGCTTTCCCAGGAAACAGGTAATACACTAAGTATTTTCCTGACAAGTTTGTTCCTTGGAATGATCTCTCCTATAGAGTGAAGCTCGTTGATGATGGAAGTGAATCGAGTGTGCATGTCCGGAATGGTCTCATCATCCTTCATCCTAAAGAGTTCATACTCCGTGGTGAGCATGTCGGTCTTCGACTGCTTAACTTGAGTTGTTCCTTCATGTGCCGTTTGAAGAGCCTCCCGGATCTCCTTGGCAGATTGACATGTAAAAATTCTGTTATACTCGTCTGGACCAATACCACAAATGAGAATCTTTTTTGCTCAGAAGTATTCTATAGCTTTGCGGTCAGTATCGTTGTACTCCTTCCTTGTCTTTGGAACTGTTACTGCTGACTTGCCAATGGTTTTCATAGGAACGAAGGGTCCATCGCAGATGACCCCAGAGCTCTGAATCTTCAGCCATGACAAAATTATGCATCCATGTCTTCCACCATCCGTAGTATTGTCCATTGAATTTTGGTGGTCTGTAGGTTGATTGAACTTCTTCAAAGTTTGGTGGAGCAGCCATGTGGATCCTTTCTAGGTATTGTTAGCCTTATAGAAAGAACCTGCTCTGATACCAATTGATGGAAACTTAGGCTCCACCAAACTGTATAGAGAACTTGGTTCTCTATCAGTTCCCACAGAACACACACAATTAGAGATAAGTAAATGACACAGCAGAGTTTTACGTGAAAAACTTCCAGCTCACGGGATTAAAAACCACGACCTATGCTCGTAGGATTTTAACTTCACTAACTGAGCAAATTTCAGATTAAAAACTATTGTAACTTAGGAATTAAACTCTTAATCCCCCACTCACTTGTAATAACTCTATTACAAGCCTCTTTGTAATAAATCTATTACAAAGCTCACAACTCGACTAACTCTAGCCAAGACACAAACACAAGGTTTATGATTTTACAAATAATTTTCTACACAATGCTTCTAGCTAAGCTAAGTAGGAATTACAAGTAGATCACTCTAATAAAGGTACAAAACAACTAAGGACTAACACAGTGCTGGAAACTGGTTCTTCGTTCTATTGTTCTTCGTTCTTGA